ACGGTTTTGTAAAAGAAGCCTTTTTAATTGTTTCACATGAATTACACATATTACTAAAAATTTAATTTAATAATACACTATCATGTTATTATTAGTATGTTAACTTCAACAATTTATTTATGTATTAATGTATAATTATTTGTACTAATGTAACTTTAAGCATTTTAAATAATGTCTGATGTGCTTTCAATTTGTTTATATTATAAATATGATGCACTGATTTCTATTGTACATTTAAGGATGTAATTTTATTATTGATATTAATATTAATTATGATATTGATATTAATTTTTTACTTATGATATTTTATACAATGTTTTAAATTAAAAATTATTTATTTTTTGCAAAATATTAGAAAATTTATTTATTTTTTATTTACTTTCTTTTAATTATAAAAAACAATAATAAAATGGCTCCAATGGAATCGTTTCTGATCTCGCATCTCCCCCTGCGCATCCTGGCTATTTCAATTTCCAAATTTCTATATTTCACCCTTTTTGTCTCCTTCTTTGGCTGCCTGGTGTTTTTATTATCATTATTATTTTATCAATTTATTTTTATTTTGCCCTTTTAATAATAAATAATTGTAATTATTTTAATATAAATTTACATTAATAATTATTATTTTTATTTGTTATAAATAAATTTTAAAAATGTTTTTTTTTCTTAATAAATTCAAGTGTACTTTTATTTTTTATACCAATATCTTTTAACTTAACATTGTTGTCTTTTAAAATCTTGTCTGAATGCTTAAGAAAATAAGTTTTCCAAATGTATTTCCATGAAATTAATTTATGTCTCATTTTTGTCTTTTTTGATCTTTTTAATTTTAAAGTAATGTATTTTCTTATGGATTTTTTTAAGTCTGCTACTGTTCCTTCAGCTTGCGAAACCTGTGTAATAAATATTAAAATATCGAAAAACACATTTATTTATAAATAAATAAATATGCATTAAATTTTTGCTTACTATAATTGGCATTTTTTCTTTGTCTTCTCTTAAAATATTTATAGTGATTGATTTTCCATGTTGAAGTGCTATTTGGTTATTTACTTCTTCCAAAGTTACCCCGTTGGGAAGATCGTTTAAAAATGAGTCTTGTGTCAATAATTCATTTAATGCAGTATTTGTAATTTGCATTAATTGCTCATGAGTAAATTTTGAATCTTCGTTTTCTGGGTTAGTAAATTCATTCATGTTTAAAATAAAAAACTTGTTAGTAATTATTCAAGACTATTGCCACGAACAATACGGTTATCCTTTGAATAATCGATGAACACTAACTGAAAATAAACGGCTTTCAGTAAAATTGAATTAAATATAATAAAAAAAATTAAAATGGTAACATTAATTGAACATTTTATAAAATAATATTTAAAATAGTTTATTTTTATGCCCCTTCTCAAACAGAGTGAAAAAGTTTGTTTTAAAAATTATTATCGATTTTCTTAAATGGTACCTATAATACAAATGTTATCAATTTACCGCCTTTTGTGATAAAATGTCAACTGGACAGATAAATGTGTGCGAGTCAAATTCAATGAGTTTTACTCATAATCAACACAGCAGTGCAATTTTAGAAAAATTACGTTTGCAAAGAGAGGCTGGAAAATTTTGTGATGTTGTTTTATATGTTGAAGATCAAAAATTTTACCTTCACAGAAATATTTTGTCATCTTTTTCTCCTTATTTCGAATCAATATTTCAATCGAAAAAGTCAGCTATCGAGAAATTCAATATAACATGTCAAAGTTCTAAAATATTTCAATGCTTTGTTAATTATATGTACACAGGAACAATTATTATAAATAATACTAATGCAACTGAAATGTTTAAACTTGCACATCACTTACAAGTATCTAAATTGAAACTACATTGTGCAGAATATTTTGAGAGGTATTTAAATTTACAAAACTGTTTAAATGTCAAACACATGGCCGATGTGTACAATATGCCATTGCTTAGTAAATATGCTTCTAATTATATTAGAAATCACCTTGATGATATTTTAAATAGTTCAGAAATACTGGAGCTTGATATTAGTAAACTAGAAAAATTTTTATCTGATAAGGTAATATAATTTTTAAAGCATTTTTTTAAGTTTTTTTTTATTAAAAGAATTGATAAAAGTTATATATTTAGGTTGACTATATTATAAAAAAAAAGTCTGAACCCTTTTTTTTAAAAAAAATAATCTAAAATTTTTCAGATGATTAATTTGTCACAAATTCAAATAATTCAATTAATAATTGCTTGGACGAAGCAAGATGTAAAAAAAAGAGAAATGCAGTTGAAATCAGTTTTAAAGTTAGTTAAATGGATGGAAATAAATGTCCAACACATAACTGAAATAATTGAAAATGAAAGTTTATTTGTTATTAGTGAAGTGTCTTTATATTTATTACTTAATCATTTAAATGAAAATGGTTTATCAATTGATAAGTTTCTAACTGTGTATGATGCTCTCAGTCAAAAATATGATTATCTTCAAAATGAAAAAGAAATGGAAAATACAGGAACAGTGTGCAAAGTAAAATTATTTCACATTCTAATAATCATTTTCATAACTATTAAAAAACATTTTTAAAAAATTTTTTTACAATCACAAAGTTGTCCTGTTGTCAAGAAAAAATTTTAATATTAAAAATTAATTTGATGCAAAATTAATTTTAGGTAAAAATTACTAAAAAAAAATGTAAAAAAAGGCAAAAGTTACTTAGAGCCAATCCTATTGCTCGATTAGCAGCTTTACGATCAGCTTTGGTAGCTAGAATGAGGAAAAACGGTTCAGAAAAATTTTTAAAAAAAAAAGAAGGTAATTCATTTAATTTTTCTTTGCAAAATTGTTTCAAAAAACAATTAAAAATGTTTTTCAAAATTTTTTAAATTTAGCTAGTGATTGTGAAGGGGACACTACAGAATTATATTTAAAATGTCATCTGTGTAATCATTTTTCCAATGATACAACTTCTTTAGAACAACATTTAAGCCTTGTGCATTCTAGGGATGTTACTTATAAATGTGGAGTTTGCGGATTTGTTTGTCAATGGAATAATTTATATTTTCAACACATAAAAGGACATTTTCCTGGTCCCCCATATAAATGTGATTCTTGTATGTTTTATATTTTATTTATGAAATTATTATTCCGATAAAGATATTTTTTAAATTTCACTTGTGAATGTTAAAAAAGGTTTTTTATTTTTTTTTTGTTTGTCAGGCGATTTTACCAATGAAAAATTAAATTCTATTTTAACTCATCGATCTGTACATGCTCAAGGTAAAATTCATAGATGTCCTCATTGCAACTTTCGTTCAAAATCTCAGGTTCGTAATAACTTTTTTTTTTTTTTATTCTTATTCAGGTTCACTACTATTCTTAAATAACATTGAAATTTTTTTCTTCTTAGGCTAATATTTTAGTGCATTCAAAATGTCATTTTACACAATACCAATCGATGGATAAAATAGGGCCTTCAATTACGGATAGACCTTATGTTTGTGATTTATGCGGATTTAGTAGTAAATATTTAAGTCATTTAATAGCCCATAAAAGAATTCATTCTGGTGACATATACAGGTTTGTTTAATATATATTATTTTTCTCATAAATGCACAATAACCTTTTTTTTTTTTTATAATAAATAAATAAATTTGTTAATAATACTAGGTGTTCCTATCCTCATTGTAAATACACGACGGCTAAAAAATCACAATTGTTATCCCATGGAAAGAGCCATCAAGGAGTTAGACCTCATTGTTGTAATATTTGTGGTAGAGGATTTTTAGAAAAAAGTCATTTGGTGAGACACGAAAGAATACATTTAGAAGAAAAACCTTTTAAATGTTTGGAATGCGATTATGCAAGTTCAAGACGTGATAAACTTAAAGAACATCAGGCTCGTCATCACGGTGATAATGCTTCTGCTAAGGTTCCTTACAAAGCAAGATCAAACAAAAAACCGAATCAGGTTTTAATCAGTGCTTTTTCATTTGTATTTTTAATAAATAAATATAAATGTTATTTAAATTTAATTATAATTAAATATAAATAGTTATTTCAAGAAGGATTTAATGAGTCGAATAATACGAGAATGCATCAGAGTTCAAACGGCAACGAAGTTACAACGGACGTTATTTCTCAAAATCATAATATGACGTCATCAAATATAAACGCTTATACGGGATTTACCAACAATGAATCTCACGTTCAAAATGTTTCAACTCCAACTTCTGCAAGTTTAGATTTTCATCATCAGCAAATATTAAACACTGGTAATAGCACGAGAGTAAAAGATCATGGTGGAATGACGACAACTCATAGATCTCCTCATCAAACTTCAGCAGCAGCTATGGCTGCAGCCATGATGCTAGATCCCCGGTATTTTTATTTTATTTTTTATATTTTTAATTAGTCAAAAATAATTTAAAAATTAAAGAGAAAAATTATTTTTTATTAGGTTTCATCATGGGAACACGAGTTCGGGAGCTTATTCAGGTACACCCGGAGCAATAGGAACAATGACGAATCAAACTTCCGGTCAAGTTGTTCAAACTTCCGGTCATCAAATGAACGAATATCCGACTGCTCTTATGTCATTATTTTAATTTTAACAATAATACGTTACCATGTTGTATTAAAAATAATATTGAAAATTATTATTTTAAAACATTATCTAGTCAATTTTAATAAATAAACGTATTAATATTATTATTACTATTATTATTTTAAATTGTCCTTATCACGAGCGTTTGTATCAAAATTATTTATTTTTTGTATTTAAAATAATTTTTATTAAATTTCTACGGTTAAACCCATTTCATCGAATACCTAAATTTTAATATGATTTTTAATTAAAAACTTTTTTTTTTTTTTTTAACGGTTTCAAAGGATGGCTGTGTATTTTTTCGATTGAAATTTTTGTCGACTCACATATTATTCGTTAATTAATTACACATTTTAGGGGTCAAATTTCGTTCATCGTGAATTTTTTAATCATTAATTAATATTTCAAATGCATTTTTCAAATTTGCATTTAATATTTGCATAATAAAATTAACGGAAAAATTCAATTACCCTCCCTTACTCCCCCCCCTCCCCTCCCACAAAATATTACACAAAATGATGAATTAAATTTTAAGGTAAATAATAATAATAATAATTTTAAATTCTCATTTTAAATAAATAAACATTAAAAAAAAAAAAAAAAAAGAAAAATTTTATTGCTGCTAATAGTATGTATGTAAGTGAGTGTGTGTGTGCTGGTGCATTATCATCTACAAAATTAGTATAATTTTATAACAAAATTATATTAAAAACTAAAAACGTCTTTTTTTTAAATCATTATCTTAATTTATATTCTCATATATATAACGCCATTAATTTTCTATATCGAAAATTTTTTCCATTTAAAAAAATAAGATTTTGAATATTTAAATAATAATAATAATAATTTCATTTAAATTTCCTATATATATATATAAAATCGTCAAATTAATAAATAAATAAATAAATAATTAATAATCTCTAAAAATAATAATAATAAATAAAAATAAATGCTAAAATTTAATCTTTTTTTTTCATAACCTTAATCTAATAAATTTGATATATTTATTTATTTTTTTTTTATAGAAAAAAAAAATAATAATAATAATAATAAATGCCTAATAAAATTAATAATAATAATAATAATAATAAGAAGTAAAATGAGTAAGTAAAAAAAATTTTTTTTTAGTTTTTTTAAAATTAATTACTATACAACAAAGCTTACACATTTAAAATTATGGTTGGTAATTACTACTAATAATTATTGCCTTGGTTTAATTACTAATTATTATTTTATGTATATATATATATATGTACTCATAAATTTATGTATAAATCACCTTTATTTATTTATTTATATATATATTACTAAAAAAAAAAAAAATAAGTTTATTAATAATAACTTAAGCGTTTTTGTCGGTTTTTTTTAAACGTTACACTTGATTGTACATGTCTTGAAATTTCCGCCTGAATAAATAAATAAAACTTTTGATTAATATTAATAATATATATATGGGATAATATTATTATTATTATTAATAAAAATTATTATTATGTACCTTAATGGATATTATCGTTACGAGATTTACTTTTATCATCATCTTAATAAAATTAAATAAAAATTATTTAAGCCTGCCACAGCCATAAGGATTATCGATAAAAAATTACGACGATCGAAAGACTCTGCACCGTTTGTTTGTTGACACCGACCTGCGACAATGAAATTATTTACAAAAAAAAAAAAGGAATAATAATGATAATGATAAACCTATTTTCTTTTTGACGTCATCATACCTAAACTAGTAGCATTAAATGCGAGAACACCTTCGACACCCGTGTTAATACTTCTAACACATGATTGACTCGAACTTGAAAAATGTATAACGCCATTTATTTCTTTGTAAATAAAACAATATCTTTTTGCACCTATGCTCGTTCTACTTTGTGGTGTCGTTATAAGAAAATTGGTCTCGTTTTCAGTCCATCTCCCGTGGCAACTGTATTCTATGTTAATTTTTTTAAAAAATTTTTACTTTTAACGGTTATTAAAAAAAGAAAAAAATAAATAAAAACTTACCGGAAATTATTCTCGAAGACGCACACTGAGATCGAAATTCTAACGTGTCACTAGTATCGCAACCAACTTCAAGAGTCGTTATTTCATCTTCGCACGATTCTTCTTTATCAACGCTATTCCTCCTTTTTCTTTTCCTTTTTTTCAAATTGCTTCCTTTTTTCCTTTTCCTTTCGCTCATAATTTCATTATCTACTATTATATTATCACTACTACTTACATTAATTATTGCTTTTCCGTTTATTGTTGGAGAGCGCTTTTGCCTTTCCATTTGTGATATACCGGCGACAGAAAATTTTCCACTATATGGACATTCTCTGGGCTCTGGATTGGTCGCTATAAACAATTTTAAAAAGGGATATTAATATCAGTATAATATTTTTAAATCCATATTCAAAAAAAAAAAAAAAAAAAAAAAAAAAAATGTCACTCACTGACTAAAGTTACAAAGGGCATGTTCAAATTAAAATGTGATGCGTGACATGCATCTTCAATTCTTCTCGTTGTCGGACCACTTTGAACTTCTATAACGTGAACATCTCTTCTATAAAACCATAAACACACATACCCACTTTGACTGGAAAAAAAAAAAAAATTATTATTATTATTATTATTATT